ATTGCTCAGTCAAACATTTTGATAAATAAATTAATAAATAAAAAAAAAATGTGACTGCCTTCACACGCTCACCAATCTGTCAGAGAGAGAGAGAGAGAGAGAGAGAGAGAGAGAGAGAGAGAGAGAGAGAGAAGAGAGAGAGAGAGAGAGAGAGAGAGAGAGAGAGAGAGAGAGAGAGAGAGAGAGAGATAGAGATAGAGAGAGAGAGAGAGAGAGAGAGAGAGAGAGAGAGAGAGAGGAGAGAGAGAGAGAGAGAGAGATGAGGAGAGAGACGAGAGAGAAGAGAGAGAGAGAGAGAGAGAGAGAGATGAGGAGAGAGAGGAGAGAGAGAGAGAGAGAGAGAGAGAGAGAGGATAGAGATTGAGAGAGAGAGAGAAGAGAGACATACACAGACAGACAAACAGACAGAACAGACAGACAGACAGATAGGTGTGGGGTAGGGGGAGAACGAAGAAAGGGGGATAGAAGGATGTGTGTACGATAGATAGATGGATAGAGAGAGAAAGGGGAAATAGAGAGAGAATGAAAAAGGGAAGAAGAGAGAGAGAGGGGGAGAGTGAAAGAGAGAGAGAGAGAGAGAGAGAGAGAGAGAGAGAGAGAGAGAAGAGAAGAAGGTGGAAGAAAAAGTTGACCTTAGCCGACACAGACAAAAAGACGGAGAGTGGAAAAAGAGGAAAGAATTTAAAATAACAGAAGCTCAGGTAAAGGGAAAAAGAGACATGAGAGAGAGAGATAAAGAGAGATATATAGAGAGAGAGACAGAGAAAGAGAGAGAGAGAGAAACAGAGAAAGAGAGAGAAAGAGAGAGAGAGAGAGACAGAGACAGAGAAGAGGAGAGGAGAGAGAGAAAGAGTGAACAGAGAGAGAAAAAAATGTGAAAAAGAGACGAAAGAAAAGGAATGCCACGTAAACCCAAACAAAAAGCAAGACACGAAACAGAAAGAAAAGAAACGAAATAAAGGAGCAAAAAGGAACGAAATAAAAGGAGCAAAAGCAGGAATAAAGAGGATAAGAGGAGTGAACAACGGGATCCCTCAACAGAGACGGCAGCATTCCAACGCGCGAATTAAGCCTCCGTTTGCACGAACAGGAAAAAAAAGTTTCGTTCGCTCAAGCAGAAGCGATCGCTCTTTTTTGTACGCGTTTCGATTCCGTGTTCGATTCCCTTTGATCTGGCTCTCTGCTTCGTTCGTTTTATGTTTCTCTACATCTGTCGCTTTCTTTTGTTCTTATTCTTATTTTCATAACTTATTCTTATTCTTATTTCTTAACTTATTTATTCTTATCTCCTTAATAAGAAATCTGTCTTTCTGCTTCGTCCGTTTTAGTTCTCTACCATCTCTGTCGTTTTTCGTTTATTTTATTTTCTGACTTATTCTTATCTTATTTCTTACACTTCTCTATTCTTATTTTCTTAACTTATTCTTATTCTTATTTTCTTAACTGTTTCTATTCTTATTTTCTTAAACTTATTACTTATTTCTCTGTTAACTTTACCGTGTTATTTTATTTTCAATTCCCTTTGATCTGTCTATCTGCCTTCGTCGTTTAATGTTTTCTCTACATCTTGTCGTTTTCTTTTGTTCTTCTTATTATTTCTTAACTTATTCTTTATTTCTTAAAATTATTCTTTATTTTCTTCTGTTAACTTTACCGTGTTTTCTTATTTCAGTTTCCTTTGATCTGTCTATCTCCTTCGTTCGTTTTATGTTTTCTCTACATCTGTCGCTTCATTTTGTTCTTTATTCTTATTTCTTAACTTATCTCTTATCTTATTTCTAACTTATTCTTATTCTTATTTTCTAACTATTCTTCTTATTATTTTCTTAACTTATTCTTATTTTCTTCTGTTCTTTTACCGCTGTTCTTTTATTTTTCAATTCCTTTGATTGCTCGGTTCATTTTTATGGCTTTCTTTACATATTGTCGTTTTTTTTGTTCTTATCTTATTCTTTACTTATTTCTTATTCTTACTTTTCCTTAATCTTATTCTTATTTTCTTCTCTCTTCTTTCTTGCTTAACTTTGATCGTCGTTCTTTTATTTTCAAATTTCTTTATCTGCTTCGTTATTTTATGCTTCTCTTTACATTTGTCGTTCTTTTTCTCTTATTCTTATCTTCTTTATTCTCGCTACCTTATTCTATATTCTTATTTTCTTCTTTCTTTACCCTTTTCTTTTTTTTTTCAGTTATCTTCTTAATTCTTCATTCTTCTTAACTTTCTTATCTTATTCTTATTCTTATTTCTTCTGTAACTTCCCGTTCTTTTATTTTTCAAATTTCTTTTGATCTGCTTCGTTCATTTTTATGTTTTCTTACATTTGTCGTTTTCTTTATGTTCTTATTCTTATTTTCTTAACTTATTCTTATTCTTATTTTCTTAACTTTTCTTATTCTTATTTTCTTCTGTTAACTTTACCGTGTTATTTTTGTGTTCCTTTTGATCTGGCTTCGTTCATTTTATGCTTTCTTTTACATTTGTCGTTTTCTTTGTTCTTATTCTTATCTTCTAATTATTCTCTATTCTTACTTTCTATATCTTATTCTATATTCTATATTTTCTTCAGTTAACTTTACCGTTTCTTTTATTTCAATTCCTTTGATCTGCTTCGTTCATTTATGTTTTCTCTACATTTGTCGTTTTCTTTTGTTCTATTCTTATCTTCTTAAATTCTATTCTTTTTTATACTTTCTTACTATATTCTTCTTATTTCCTTTTGTTAACTTTACCGTGTTATTTTATTTTCAATTTCCTTTGATATTTAGATAGTTTGCCCTTCATCTCTCGTTTTCTTTAATTCTTATTCTTATTTTCTTAACTTGTTCATTTTATTTTCTGAATAGATACATTGAGAAGAAGATAAATTGATAGATAATCGAAAACCAAAGAAAAAGGACAAAAGAAAAAGGAAAAATATGAGAAGTCTGACATTTAAGAAGAGAGACAAATAAAAAAATTTCCTCGAAATCTCGACAGCAATATTAAGTTTCTAAGACATATACACGGAAGAGAGAGAGAGAGAGAGAGAGAGAGAGAGAGAGAGAGAGAGAGAGAGAGAGAGAGAGAGAGAGAGAGAGAGAGAGAGAGGAGAGAGAGAGAGAGAGAGAGAGGAGAGAGAGAGAAAGAAAGAGCAGGTGAGGGAGAGAGAGAGAGCAAGTGAGGGGGGAGGGAGAAAAAGAGAGAGAGCAGGTGAGAAGGGAGGGGCAGAGAGAGAGAGAGAGAGAAAATATATATATATAATATATATATATATATATATATATATATATATAATTATAATATATATAATATATAATATATATATATATATATATATAGAGAGAGAGAGAGAGAGAGAGAGAGAGAGAGAGAGAGAGAGAGAGAGAGAGAGAGAGGAGAGAGAGAGAGAGAGAGAGAGAGAGAGAGAGACTATAATTACAACTGCAGCAACATTACCAACAACAAAACAATAACAACAATGACATATGATACACAAGTTCATTTGTGTTGGGTCGCTATTTATAGACAATGCAATAAAGTTGTGAATAGAGTACTTTCATTTTATGCTACATTGCAAAATCATACTGGATCCGTTTCTGAACCATCGTGACACACACATGCAATCATTTTAGTTTATCATATAAAGCATACGATTCATCATATCCATATATAGGAGACAAAGCACTACGCTGTACAATATATTCGATATTTGACTCCCAAAAATAAAGCGGAATATAACACCAACAGTCAGTATAAAATTGTTGTATTTCCAACGTCAAACAGTATTTGAATTTTGTTTTATTTGCATGTTTTCTCTCTCTCTCTCTTCTCTCTCTTCTCTCTCTCTCTCTCTCTCTCTCTCTCTCTCTCTCTCCTCTCTCTCTCTTCTCTCTCTCTCTCTCTCTCTCTCTCTCTCTCTCCTCTCTCCTCTCTCTTCTCTCTCTCTCTCTCCTCTTCTCTCTCTCTCTCTCTCTCTCTCTCTCTCTCTCTCTCTCTCTCTCTCTCTCTCTCTCTCTCTTCTATTTTCCTTTCAACCATAAATAACCGCATTACCTTTCTTTCTTTCTTTCTCTCTCTCTCTCTTTTCTCTCTCTCTGTTTTCTTCTCTCTCTCTTCTCTCTCTCTCTCTCTCTCTCTCTCTCTCTCTCTCTCTCTATATATTATATATATATATATATATATATATATATATATATATATATTATATATGTATTTTTCCCCTTTCAATTCATAGATAACCGCATTTTTTTTTTTTTTTTTTTTTTTTTTTTTTTTTTAGTCCCACACATGAAAACAAAAGGCATCTCTCGTGGGTTGCCAGTTAGCCATTTGGATATCGCGTTTCTGAATCGTATGATTTGTGATACCGGTGTTCGTTATTGTTATGTGATATTGGTGATTTGCGTAATAGAATAAGAGAGAGAGAGAGAGCAGATGAGAGAGAGAAGAGAGGAAAGGGAGAGACGAGAGAGAGAGAGAAGAGGAAGAGAGAGGATGAAGAGGAGAGAGGAGATGAGAGAGAGAGGAGATGAGAGACAGACAGGACAGAGACACAGAGAGAGAGAGCAGAGGAGAGAGAGAGAGAGAGAGAGAGAGAGAGAGAGAGAGAGAGAGACAGAGACAGAGACGAGACAGAGACAGAGACAGACAGAGAGAGAGAGAGAGAGAGAGAGAGAGAGACAGACAGATAGACAGAGAGAGAGACAGACAGACAGACAGAAAGAAAGAAAAATTGTTATTATTATCCTTATTATCATGTGCGTGCTCCGGAATGTACCATTGCGTTATTACACAACAATTCAAGTAAACTGTCGATTTATTTGATAAATGTCGCCCCACTGACCTCGAGATCAATGAGAAACGGAAAGCCACAATGAGAGCCGCAGCAGAGAGAACCATAACAAAGAGAACCGCAGACAGAGAGAACCGCAATCAGTGACAACCATAACAGAACCGCAACAGAGAAAAACCCAATCCCGCAATTATTTAGAGAACTACAACCAGAGAAAACCGCAACCAGAAAGAAACCACAACCACAGAGAACCACAACCACAGAGAACCACAACCAGAGAGAACCCACAACCAGAGAGAACCCGCAACTACAGAGAACCATAACAAAGAGAACCGCAACCACAGAGAACCGCAGCAGAGAGAAAACTCAATCCCGCAACCATAGAGAACCACACCCGAAAAGAACCGCAACCATAGAGAACCGCAACCACAAAGAACCGCACCCAGAGAAAACACCCAGAGAGAACCAAAACCACAGAGAACCCAACCACAGAGAATCACAAACCACAGAGAACCGCACACCAGAGAACCCCAACCAGAGAGAACCACAACCACAGAGAACCACACCCAAGAAACCAGCAACCAAGAAAACCGCAGCAGAGGAAAAACCGCAACCCGCAACCCAGAAACCACAACCAGAGACAATCTTATACCCAAAAGCAAAAAGAAAACCGCAACCATAGGAAACCAACACCACAGAGAACCACAACCACCTGAGACCCACACCCAGAGAAAACAAACCACAAAAACACAACACAGAGAACCGCAGCAGAGAAAACCGCAATCCCGCAACCACAGAGAACCACAACCAGAGACAATCCTAACAAAGAGAACCGCAACCATAGAGAACCGCAACCACAAAGAACAGCAACCACAGAGAACCACAACCAGAGAAAGAGGGAAAATCAACGCAAAAAACCACGAAGAACCGCAGCAGAGGAAAACCGCGAATCCCGCAACCACAGAGAACCACAACCAGAACAATCCTAACAAAGAGAACGCAACCGAAGAACCGCAGCACAGAGAAAACCAGAGAACCGCAACCAGAGAACCCGCAACAACAGAGAACCACAACCAGAGACAATCATAACAAAGAAAAACCGCAACCACAAAGAACCGCAACCACAAGAACCCAACCATAGAGAACCACATCCAGAGAAAAACCGCAACCAGAGAGAAACCACAACCACAGAGAACCGCAGCAGAGAGACCACAACCAGAGACAATCATAACACAAGAGAAACCGCAACCACAAAGAACCGCAACCACAGAGAACCACAACCAGAGACAATCATAACAAAGAGAACCGCAACCACAGAGAACCGCAACCAGAGAGAACCACAACGGAAAGGACGCCAGAAATCCCCCCAGTTGCAGGGAATGGCGACGGACCTTGCAATACAGGGGGGGGGGGGGGGAGCCGCGTCCCCGAGACTGATGGAAGAGGCTGATGTTATGCATAATATTAACGGCCTTCGTTTGGCAATTTGTCTTTTTTTTTTTTTTTTTTTTTCTTATATATAATAGCGTTCGCCGAGGAGGAGATAATGCTTTGAGGAGATTGTGGATTTCTTTTTTCTTTTTTTTTTTTAATTTTATATAATATATATATATATATTATATATATATATATATATATAATATATAATATATTTTTTTTTTTTTTTTTTTTTTTTTTTTTTTTTTTGGGGGGGGGGTGTATTTTGTTTGTTTTCGGTTTAAATTCTTTTTTTGAGCGTTTTTTTTTTTTTAGGCTTTTTGGTTGTGTATTTTTGTTTGTTTTCTGTTTAAATTCTTTTTGTGAGCGTTTTTTTAGTTTATTTTTTAGGCTTTTTGGTTGTGTATTTTGTTTGTTTTTTGTTTATATATTCTTTTTTGGTTTGTGTATTCTCTTTTTTTTCTATGTCTTTTTGTTAGTCTATATTGTTGGTTAGTTTTCTTTTTGTTATTGTTTTTATGGTTTGTGTAACTAGGTGGTTATTAGTATGTTAAGATATGTACATCCAATATCTTTGTGTGTGTGTGTGTGTGTGTGTTTTCTCATAATAAAGATATTCTAATAAGTATGTAATATCTCTGTGTGCGTGTTTTCTTCATAATAAAGATATTCTAATAAAATATATCTATATCTATCTATCTATCTATCTATCTATCTATCTATCTCTCTCTCTCTCTCTCTCTCTCTCTCTCTCTCTCTCTCTCTCTCTCTCTCCTCTCTCTCTCTCTCTCTCTATATATATATATATATATATATATATATATATATATATATATATATATATATATATATATATATATATATAATATATATTATATAATATATATATAATATATATATATATATATAATAGAAACAGATTGAAAGACAAACAGGCACGCAGAGATTGATCGTTAGATTAATACGCTGATAACAAATCTTCACATTGATAGACAGACGATAGACAGAAAATAGATAGGTAGATAATGGTAATGTGGTTGATATGATAAAGGTAGGATTAATTGTTATTATTTTACTGACTTTCGTGATTATCATTTTTATCATTATCATCATCATTGTCATCCTCATCATCATCATCATTTTATTATTATTGCTATTACTTTTAACAAAAATAATTATTTTCAGTAATAGTATTAGTATTAGTAGTATTTTGTCGTTGTCTTTGATACTATTATTATTCTTATTACCATTCCTATCATTATCATATCTTATTGCTATCAGTAACATCATTATCATCGTCGTCCATATGTAGCAAGTTTTATGCAACAAATTCTCTCGCCAAGTCTAAAACAGCGATTTAATTAATTCAAAAAGGGTTTACGTGGAAGTCCTCAGATTATATCCAGGACTCGAACTGTGTTAAGAAGAAATTCTGTTTTTTTTTTTTATCTGAATTATTGTATTTATCAGTTCCAATTTTCGTTATTATCATTGTTGTTATTTTTCATTTTTATTATTATTGTAATATCTTTATTGATATTGTTATTCATTTATCGTTTCCAATTCTTGTTATTATCATTGTTGTTATTTTTAATTTTTATTAGTATTGTAATATTGTTTTATTGATATTGTTATTATTATCATTGTTATTAATGTTATGGTCATTAGCAGTATCAGTAGTAGTAGTAGTAATTGTTTTCATTAGCATTATTATTTCAATCGTGATAATTATGATAGTTATTATCATTATTATTATCATTGCCGTTATTATTATCTTTATTATCATTGTCATTATTACTATTATCAATATTATCATTATTATTATCATCATTATTATCATCATTATTACCATCATCAGTATTACCATCTTTTACCATTAATATTATTGTTACTATTATTATTACTATTATCATTATCATTATTATTATTGGTTATAATTTTGGTTTTATTATTCCTGTATTTGTTATTACTATTAATATTATTATCATTACTATTATTATTAACATTATTACCATCATCATCATTATCATCATTGTTGTTGTTTCTGTTGATGTAGTTATAATTATCATTATTTCTTTTAGTTATTATCATTCTCTCTATCATTACCATTATTATAATTATCCTTATCATTACTGTTACTATTATCATCATCATTATTATCATCAACATTATCATTATCATCATCATCATCAATACAGTGTGTATATGTATAAAGTTATTGTCACCATTATCATCCTCACTTCTATTATTATTATCATTTTAATCATTGTCATTACTATAGGAAAGGTAAGAATGACAATTTATTCTCATTTATACCTTTTATGGTTCATTAGCATTATTACTACTATTAACTATTATTAATACTTTTATTATCATCATCACCACTATCATTATCACGACCATTCTCTTTACTATCATGATTATCAATACTATCGTTACTATTACCTATATTTTATCATTATTCCCTTTTGGAGCATCATCGTACATCTGGCCGCTGCTGATCACGTGATCCCCTGGCCGCGTTCGAGTCCCCAGCTCAGACTTAATTGCAGTTAATTATTCCGGAAATTAGAATTGCACTATACCTCCGGTCCGGTGAAGTTCACGATGCGTCGGGGCTTCGCAACACCACTGTTGCATATGGCATTGCAGGCGAACAATGATGAAACAAAGGGAAGTTTAGTTCTGTTGTGAAAGGCCGTCATTCGAATGGCCTTTTTTTTTCTTTTGTTTTCCTTTCATGTTAACTGGTCTGATTTCTCACTTTGTTTTCGTCTCAATTTATATTTCTTTATATCTATCAATCTCTGTCTATCTATTCATTTTTGTCTATCTATCTGTCTGTCTATTAATCTACTTATATATCTGGATATCGATCTGTCTGTCTATCCATTTATATATATATTTTTTTTCATATTTACAGTCTGTCTGTCTGTCCATCCATCGATCTATCCATCTAGCTCTCTATCTATCATCTATCTATCTGTCTGTCTGTCTGTCTGTCTGCCTGTGTACCAGTCTATCTATCCATAAGTCTAACTATATCTATCTGTCTACCAATTTATCTAATTATCTATTATATACTCTCGTCTATATTACCTTCCCGTCTTGCAAATATTCTATTTCACAATGAACTATTTCCTCTACAGTTTGCTCGGTCCCTCAATTACTTCCTGGACCCTCCGCCGCCTCCCCCTCTACCCCACCCCACCCCATACCTCATAACAGCTTCACTCCGCCCACCCACCCCCACCCCCACCCCCAACTCCAGCAACCCCTCCAGCCCTGACCTCTACAAAAAAGGCTACACATCCCGACCCCACCCACCCCCAACGCACCCCACCCCACTCCAACCCGTCCGCCCCCTAACCTCTTACAAAGTCGACTCCCGCCGCCACCCCCCCACCCCCCCACCCCCCTCCCCCCTCCGCCCCATTACCTACATACAGCTACACTCCGCCCGACCACCCACCCCAACCCCCACCCCCACCTCCCAACCCTTCCGCACCCATACTACAATAGGCAACAAGCTACATCGTCGGCCGCCCACCCACCCCCAAGCCCCCACCCCCACTCCCAACCCTCTCGCCCCATACCTCTAACAAAAAGCTACCACTACCCGCCCCACCCCACCCCCACCCCCGACCCCCACTCCCAACCCTCACCCCATACCTCTAACAAAAGACTTACAACCAACTCTTTCAAAAGAAAAAACTCAAGTCCCCCCTACCTACCGCCCCCCACCCCACTCTTCTTCTCTTACTCTCTCTCTACTCTCATCATCTCTTCTCTCAAGTCTCTCTGGCCTATCTCTCACATCCTCTATCTCGATCGTCTCTACATCTCTCTCTCTCTCTCTCTCGTCTCTCTACACGCCCAACTCTCTCTCTCTCTCTCTCTCTGCTCTCTCTCTCTCTCTCTCCTCTCTCTGCGTCTCGTCTCTCTCTCTTCTCTCTCTCTCTCTCGTCCTCTCTACATCTCTCTCTCCCGCCCCCCCACAATCCAAAGTTTTGAAAGTAGCATCTTTACAAACTTACTTTTTTTTAAGGAGTAGCGGTTCTGTATCTCAACCTTCCTATAACAATCCCGAGGATTCTCATATGTGTGGAATACGATTATCACGTAACGGGAGAACAGGAACTTATGACACATATACATGCTTGCTTCGAGAGCTGGAGAACAAGACTGCTCGGAGGCTATAATCATTGAAGAACAGCGTTTTTCAGGTAGACGGAGGTAAGAATGCAATACAAGAGTTTGGTCAACTAGAAAGATGTGACTTAAATAATTACTGTGTTGGTGACTGTGATCTGATAGTTATGTAAACGAAATGTTGCAAAGCGATTATATGAAGTTTAATAAAGGAGTGGAGAGGGAAGGAGGCGGTATGAGTTAGGGAGATGAATGTATATATACATATAATGGAATTGAAATTATAGGGATATGGCTTTCGTAATAAGGTAGTAAAGTTAATAAGTTTAGCTATCTTCTTCTGTGTATTTATCTCTTTTTTCTTTTTCTTTCTTTTCCTTTCTTTTTTCCCCTCTTTTTATCGTTAGCATTGCTCCGTAACTTTCTCCCTCTCTTCTCTTCTCTCTCATCTCATCTCTCTCTCCTCTCTCCCTCTCTCTTCGTGGGCTATTCTCTCTTCCATCTACTCTATCTTATCTCTAATCTCTATCGCTATACTCTTCTCCTCTCCTCTCTCGCCCTCTCTCTTCTCTCCTCTTTGTCATGTCTGCCTTCTTCCTCCTTATAGTCAGTCTTCTGCTCTTCTTCCTCCGTTCTTTCTCTTCTTCTCCCTCTTTATCTCCTTCTCCTTCTGCTATCCTCTGTTCTGCCGCTGCGGCTCTCCTATATATGGGTCAACTTCTCCTTCTCTTCTACCCCTCTCCTTCTCCCTCTCCTTTCCCTCTACCTCTCCTTCACCCCTCCCCTCCTCTCTCTCTCTCTCCTCTCCCTTCCCCAAACCCCCCCCCTCCCTCCCTCCCTCTCCCTCTCCCCCTCTCCCTTTCTCCCTCCCCTCCTTATAACGCGGCCTTTCCCTTTAACCTCACCTTATTCCATGAGCCTCTTAAAAACCGAGTGTTTGATCCCTTGCCCCTTAGTACTCTCTGAACCCATAATGCCTTGTTTCTTCAGTTTCTTCGCCTTGTCCCTCTTTTCTGATGTTTGCACTCAGATTCATGAAACGTGAAAACCTTATATCTTTTCTATGTGAGATTCCTTTTAAACTGGATGAACTATGAAGAGAGGGATGGATTGTAGAAGGTCATTACGAAAGGATTGTATGTACAACTATATAATGATCCCTTAAATTTGACAATTCTAGAACCTTATAGGTATATAAAAGGTAAGAAAAAAGGGAGATATAATATTATCTTAAGTAAATCAAGTATGATAATAGATAGTGTTATTATAGATTAACTAATTAACTGTTAAATTTATTTCATTATCACTTTTATTGTTAGTAGTTAGTGATGATCATATTGCTTATAATGTAAGTATATGTAGTATCTTAAGTTATAATCAGTAGGTGGTATACAGTACTGGATCGATCTATCGCTTATCATTATTATTTCTAATTCCCTAATTTTGATTATCTCCGATTTAGCCTTAATGACTAATTGTATGGATTTAGGCTTAATATTTCTCATTATTTGGATTTCTATTTTGAGATCTTCATATTAGGATAACGCGTCCAAGTCTTCAAGATAATTTGGATACTTTTGATCAAGTCCTTCGGATAATTTGGATAATTTGACAAAGTCCTAAGGATGATTTGGGTGATTTTACAAAGTCCTCAGGAAAATGTGAATGATTTATTAAAAGTTCTTGGGAAAATGGGTTAACATCTCGAGTAGTAATTATTTGTACGTGGCTGCATGCTTACGCTACTATTCCATCTCTCTGCTATATATCTGTCTATCTTCTCTATCATATTTATCTCTCTCTCTCTCTCTCTATCTATCTATCTATCCTATCTTCATCTATCTTTATCTCTCTCTATCTCTCTCATCTCTCTCTCTCTCTCTCTCTCTCTCTCTCTCTCTCTCTCTCTCTCTCTCTCTCTTACTCTCTTTCTCTCTCGGCTTCTCTATCTATCTACTCTTCTATCTATCTCCTTTCTCTCTCTCTCTTTACTCTCTACTAATTCTCTCTCTACTCTCTCTCTCTCTCTCTCTCTCTCTTCTCTCTCTCTTCTCTCTCGTCCTTCTCCTCTCTCTAACTCTCTCTCCCTCCTTCCCCTCTCCCTCCCTCTCCTCCCCTCCCCATCCCCTCTCTTTCCCTCCCCCTCGCACCCACTTCCCCCTCCCCCCACCTCACCCCATTCGCCCCTCCCTCCCCCTAACCCCCTCCCTCCTCCGCTTTCCCTCTCCCTTCATTACATTTCTTTCTTTCTTTCTTTCCTCTATCTTACCGATGCCTTTGAGAGGCACGGTCTGCCAAGCGGAAGAGCGAGTTTCCATGAGAACAATTACACTGTTTATTCTCCTCGCTGAGTAAAGGATTGTGTTGCTTGACAGTTAACTGGGCGATGGAGGAGAGAGACAGCTGATCCAGTGTGGGGTATCTGGTTCAGTTCTTTGGTGTTTTCATTGTTTATTTTTATTTTGTTTGTTTAAAAACCCGTTCTGCCTGGTTCAGTTGGCTTGCAGTTGTGCTTTATTTTCATTTATTTATTTGTTTGATTTTACTCTGGTTCCTGCGGGTATTGGCTGGTTCAGTTATTCAGTTATTGGTTTATTTCATTTGGCTTATATTTTGTCTTGTTTTGTTTGCTACTCGTTTCCTGCGCAGTACTTGGCTGACGTTCAGTTGATGCGTTTATTTTATTTTAGTTTATTTGTTATTTGTATTACTCGGTTCCTGCGGGTATTGCGTCTCAGTGTGCTTTATTTTTCATTGTCTATTTGTTTGTTTGTTTGTTACTCGCGCTTCCTGCGGGTATGGCTAGTTCAGTTTTCAGTTAAGGTTTGTTTTCATTTTGTTTATTTGTTTGTTTCTTTTATTCGCGTTCCTTCTGTGTTGGGTATTGGCTGGTTCAGTTTTGGTTTATTTTCATTTGTTTATTTTGTTTGGTTTGTTTGTTTTAACGGTTTCCTGCAAAGTTATGGACGTATAACATGCTGATACAGCTACGTCTGTTTGTTTTTGTTTTTGTTTTGTTTTCCGTTTTTTCTTACGTTCTTTTGCTCTTTTGTTTCGTTTTTTTCTCTTTTTCTTTTTTCTACTTTCATTGTTTTCGTCTTCTCTGATTTCTTTGTTTCGTTTTCTTTTCTGTGTTGTTTCGTGTTTCTGTTTCTTCTGTCTTTTGTGTTCTTCTTTGTTTCTGTATTTTCCTCTTCTTTTTTCGTCTATCTTTTTACTATTTTCTTTTTGGTGTCGTTTTTCTTTTCTTTTTCTTTTTTGTGTTTTTTATTTGTTTTGTTTTTGCATGACAAGATATATAAACCATTATTATTATGTATTCTTCTTCTTCTTTCTTTTTCTTCTTCTTCTTCTATTCTTACATTTACTTCAGTCTTCTTCCTCTTTCTTCTTCCTTTCTTTTTTTTCTTCTTAGTCCGGGCCATTCATCTATTAGGTCTAATTGGTCATCTTCATGGCCTAGCCATCCTTCTGCTACAGTGGCTCTTATGCTATTTAATGCATTACTCTACTGATATTGCTAGTTGTCTTTCCAGCTGTCAACTAGCTAGTCAAGGTAATTATATGGTACCCTCGCGACTAATTGCATTTAAATGTTGTTCAAAGTTATCTTATTTTATCAATGATTGCGTTCTCATTTTTCTCCCTCTCGGCTCCTCCTTCATCTAGTGTCTTATATTTATCTATTATTTTTCTCTTATCTTTCTTTCTTTCTCTCTCTCTCTCTCTCTCTCTCATCCTCTCTCTCGCTCTCCTCTCTCTCTCTCTATCTATCTATTCTATTACTATCTATTCTATCTCTAGCTCCTTCTCTATCTCTCTCTCTCTATAAATCTATCTA